TTCGAATAATAGTAATCGTTTAGTGCTATACTGAAATAGACACGCAATAGAATTATTGTCACAGAATAAAATATTATGATATTAAATATAATATTATTAAACATATTATGATATTGTTATGGAGAAATCGGTAAAATTCTATGGTTAATTTTTTTTGGATACTAAATTCTTGACATGGAGATAATATTATAGTCTAGATGGTATAAACTCCCAGATATAAATGGGCAATAATACTATAGAAATCATAGAGTGTTTATTCTTATCTATGATTTTTGATTTTATGAAGTGGTTTTCATAATAATTAGGAACAACCGGGAAAAAACGTAGGAAAACTGGAAAATTTACAAAGTGTATGATTTCAAATTTTGATTTATTATTGCGGATCAGTTAAAAATATTCGTAGACTTGGAGTTTGGATAGAAAATTTAAATTTCCTTTTTCTAGGCATGGCAAAATTGTCAAAATATTTGAGCCATTTCTAAGCTTATTATAGATTTTTATAGGCATTTGAATTTTGCAAGGTTCTAAATAAATTTTATTCGGTAGGTATTCTGTAGATGAAATAGTTAGACCAATGCAATTAGAATTTGGGAGTCGTGCTTATTTTCAGTTATGGAGTTTTATTTGAAAAAAATTGCCACAATTTTTTTTTGTGCCATCAATATTAAATCATTGGAATTACTGGTTTTCAAAAAAAAAAAATTCAATGGTCGGACATACTTCGCACGTGAGTGAAGTCACTGTTGTAGGTGGGAAGTTGAGAAGATAGGATACAGACGGGAATTCAATGTATATCTGTAAGCAATGATAAACCATTGCTAACAAACAGATGATTCTGAGCAAGGTTTAGTTGATAGTGTTGATTTGTCAACAATACAGTATACGGTATATTATTATGGTAAAATGATAACAATAATGTGCGTTTCCATGACAACAATGATTGTTTGAAAAAGATTATAAAAATATATAAAAAAAATAAATAAAAACGGTTACTAATGACAACCTAATTTTTAATCTTTCAATTTTTTTTTAACTTAAAGACCGAGAGTTTCCTTATTATCTCGAATATTGATGAGAAATTCAAAAAATAACCTTTTTAAAGTACCACCCAGAGAATATTTCCTTTCGAAAAAGTGCTGTGTTTGATAATTTGTAACAAGATTGCTGATAGAATTTCCGTACATATTATAAAAAAAAAAAAATAAATAATAAACACATTTGTAAAAACAATACATTCTTCGCTTCACTCTGAATCTGAAATTATACATCGAATGGATATAGATGGCGATTTTTCGCGTATACGTTTTCACTCTTGTTTTTACGTCTCTTACTCTATCTACGCCAGTCCGGACAGCATTAAAACGGACTCTGTATCAGGGCCGGTCGGCGAATCGTTATCTACGGCCACCGACCGAACAAGTTTACGACCCGTATAATACATATATATATAAAACCGAAGGGGAGAGCCGAGGGTGTCTGCGAACTTGCGGACAACCGATCATCGCCCTTCTCGTCTATCCCGCAGAGAAAGAAACTACCCGGATCCGACCCGTGATAAAACGTAACGCAATAAAATATAGTATAGGTACTGTGCACGTCGTCTTCAATTAGGATTTTTATTAATCATTATTGAAAATTATCGCTTTTGTTTCCGATATATTTATATTACACGGTATATTATTTTCTATCAACATCACGTTCGCCTTTTCTTAATCAGACATAACATTCCGTACTATACCTGTATTATTATGTTAACGTAGCCTCCGCCACCGCAACGGTAACGGTCGCGTTATATTGATTATATTATGTTTTCGGAAAATACGAAATTTTATAATATTTGGACATATTCGACGATAAATTATTAACCGGACGCACGGACGTAATTCAGATTTACGAGCCAGTGGCGTATTTAGCTTTTTGCCGTCCGTAGCCTTTTTTTTTTTTTTTTACCACTCCCTCTACAACAGTCCTGCTCATCACCCTCCCCCTTCCTCGGGAAAACTAATACTATTATATTTTAATATTTCAAATAAGCACAGCGCTATATGTACGCATATTGTTCACTCGTTTTTTTTTTTTTTACCAGCAACAAAATATAAACAATAAAACAACAATTATTTAAATATACGCCGCACGATATTTTCATTTAAATTGACAATTTTAAAAATTCGGTTTTTTTCCCTTTCGGCATTCAGATATCTTCGTGTAATGTATTATCTGTTCGAAAGAAAAAAATATTGTTTGTACTCGTTTCTTAATATTATACATTGCATAACGTCAAATTGGTTTTTTCTTTTTTTGACAAATAACAAAACGAGATGGTTTTGGATGACATATTATTTTAAAAAGTCAATACGGTCTGTCTTAAAAAAACGTTTTCCAGAAAAGAAAAAAAAACATTTTAAAACGAATAGCTTCCTCGGTCAACTCAAAATCTAAAATAATATAAGTATATATTTTGCTGTGTCGCGGTCATTTGTTTTATTTCGATTTCGTTATCAAGGATACAATGCAACAGAAATACAGTCTCTATAAAAAATATAGCTATTAGGTATATTACGTATAGAAGATCCTATATTTTATTTTTGTTCGGATTGTTTGTGTAACCCACCGAAATTCACAAAATTACGTTGGATAATTTTAGTCATTGCGGTGTGCATTTGATTTTCGCAGCGACAAACATATTGTTGCAATGGAAACCGAAATGGAAATAATAACCGTCTTTAGAAAATTCGACTATACGTACTCGAGACCAAAAATTACGGATTGGTAACGTACTAGATGATACGAGAGGAAAAGAGAGACGGAAAGATAAGTATTTTTTTTTCTCGATATTATTGAACAGTGTTTTTCATACCCTCAAAATATAACCTATAATAATTATTGTCATATCGATGGACGATGGTTTAACGATGGGTTACAATATTTATACGAGAAGAAAACCATTAAATTTTGTGACGTATTGCGGCAGATGACTTTTAACGTACGGGAAATAAATTATTGAAAGATATTACTTATTTATGGCCCTTGTATACTCATAATATGATATCCTCAACAAACAATATATAAAATACTTTAATCTAACCCTATATAAAATCGCATAAAATATTGCATTTTTATATCAATTGGATTTTTGAAGAAAAAATAAACTTCGGGCGTTATACGATAAAAATGTAAGTGCAATAAACAATTTCAAAACATTCGAATATGTTAAATATTTAACAAAATATCGTGTTCATAAGCTTAATTTTACATTATTTTTCTCTCTTTAAGAGTTAACTCACTTTACCACTTGTCTCTATCTTGAATTATCTCTCCAGTTTGAAACTGCAGTCATATTAAAATCATTTTTAACCGATTCAATCCTCATTTTTATCCTCAAAGTCCTCACGAGGTTTTTATTCCTTAGGATTTCCATTCAATTTGCTCTGGCTGTTTCGTTTCTTTTCCTCTACATTTATAACCTATAACCATATTGCATTATTTGTCCATTAGCAATGCTTATCGCCAGTGCTAGTGTAGTTCCATCATGTAATAAAACGAAGTTCTGTTGAACTCCCTTTGCCAGTTCGCCGTTACTTCACCAATGGTGGATTCACTTATTTTTCTTCATGCCTAATATTCTTGAATATCCTCTATCATCTCTCTGTCTGTTTGGTTTTCGTTCAAGTAGTCTCGCAGACATAACTGAGATTTGATATTGTAAAACTACGTATAATCTTGCTTTTGTTTTTTTACTGAATTTCACATTTTATGAAATACTTATACGCACAAAACTGCTTGCTTTTATCGTGTGAGTACTGATAAATGTATAATATGTAGTGGTTTAATTTTTAATCTTACGATTGTGACAGCTATCGCGTCTATATAAATAGTGCAAATGGACCTCTTCAAATATAATAAAATCCCTCTCGACGACGCAAGAACAGGCAAACATTGCGGGTAATTCGGGCCCCTCGTTATAAACCGACAGACAACGACCGTTAATATTATCAGCTCACCACGCAATAGATTATTATATTATGAGGGGTCGAAAAAAACCACGGTCGTTTTCGAAACACTATTTTGGGCGAACAAACGGAAATATTGAAGACCACGGATAATAATGTAAACAATCACTTTCGTACATGTTAGACGACGAGAATTGTTATGGCAAAAACGATAGCCGATGTAGAAAAACTGCATACAGGGTGATTCGTTTATCGTAACAGTACAATTTTTGAAAATATCTCAATTCTGGATTGTTCGAGGAAAATTCAAAATAAAATTTACAAGAGATCTTCGTGTTTAGAATTTAGAGCTCACTATTTCACGTGAAGGTATGCCCATATACGCTTTCACGTGAAATTAAAATTCGTTTCTATAGAAAACCGTGCATTTGATAAATTCATGTACATGTGTAATTATTCACTTATTTTAGTAAAAACCAGTATACCGAATACCTAACATATAACAATAGTGAATAATAAAAATCAGTTTATCGACTCGACATCGGCAGTACGTAAAGGCCGGTCATCCTCAATTTATATTTGTATTGTAATACTTAAATACTACAAATCGATCGCGGAGACGTGAATAATAATAGAACAGATATTATATATACGTGTATTAATTATTATACGTGAATGCGAATGTTTCATTCACGTATACACAAACTCTGTGTTCACGTACGTATTAATTCGCGTTTCAAATAAAGACCTCTAATTCAGATACAATATTGCCAGTTAATGAAAAACTACCCGCTCTGTATTATCATAGTATTCCGTAATAATACAGAATGTTGCATTTTTTTATGACATGCGGATTTCCAATTTAAACGATAAAATACATATAATATGATAATTTCAAAACCCTAAACGCAATGTACCTACGCAAAAAAAAAAAAATGCAAATATCGAGAGAATGTTTTTATTAAAATTAATTGAATTTAAAAGTTAAAAAAAAAAACTGTTCGAACGATAATATTCTACGCGTCAGTCACACGGGAATTGATTCCGCATTATATATGCTGAACCGTACGTCACTGCGCAAGCATTTTTTTTCGCCCAATCGCATAATAATATAAACACGACGTCATAGGGGTTATTGACGACGTGAAGCATACCGTTTTTCGTGGGTCAGATTAACATTTAGGGGGGGGGAGGTGGCGAGCTTTGTTTGCAGCACACAGCCGCATGTTTACGAGCGTAAAAACAGTTCCCTCGATCGGGTAGTCGTGGTGTATAATATGTGTAATATATTCTTCATTTTTACCGAGAAAATTGGATTATATGAAAAAAAAAAAAATTTTTAATAGAAGAAACGTGTAGCATGACATTACAATAGTTAATCGAATTTTTGTGGACACCGTCGACTTTTGGGGGTTTTGGCCTAAAGTTCTCCTATTCGCGACTTAGATGTTCTACTGGAACACGGGAAACTATAATATTTTTCAAATATGGATAATAATAGTAATATAAAATAATCATAGGAGCAACTAGATTACCAACTATGGGGGTGCTAAAATTATAGATACATAATAGACCCAGGAGGCAATCCTCCCACAATCCCCGTTACATGACATTTATAATAGGCAACTACACATTTAATTTTAAATTGTTTACATATAAATGTATCATAACATTTTTAATTTTATTTTTAATACACATATGCATTGTCTGCAAGTAATCTGTATTTGTTCTGCTTATTAATTATGAAATACACGGATAAAATATTTAGTCGATACTATAAAAAAAATATTGTGTATTTTCAGGGTTGATAATTTTAAACTTGGGTGTGATAAAGACCCTCTTACACTCCCTTAGTTGCCACCTAATAATATTTTATACGCTCGAGAAGTTGTATTCGCAATTATTTGTATTATTAAATAGGTAATTGGACGACCGGACGATAAATCGTAGCCTCTTATAGAGGTGTATACTTTGGAGAGTTTATTTTTGGCGAATTTCGTAGTTCTGTACGTCATTGAAAATCTGAGCAAAAACCCATAAAAAAAAAAAGACAACCAAAAAGTGGCGTCAGAGGAGGATATCCGAGAGTTAAAACTTTAATATTACAAAACTCTCTATTTGCAATCGTTTCTCGTACAACGCAATGATTTATCATTATACACATTTCCAATCGCGAAAGTAATACTAAAACACACCTCATGGGACCCACCTTGCTGAACTTTGCTGTCTGGGGTAAATAGATGCGACGACGTGTGTGTATATCATTTGTATAACTATTTTTTTTAAATTTTTATTTTATTAAGTTTTGTACCACAAAACTACCTATATATTTCGAAATGACTCTAAGATATTTACGGCCGAAATATTTGCGGTACGTGGAGAGGAAAAAACATGGGGATTTTAGAAAATCAACGATGTTAATAATAAAAAAAAAAATATACATTAATTCAAATTTAATAAAAAAAAACATTAAAAATTACTCTTTCACGTGTATAACAATCTATATCCGAAAAGCAAGTACGATTTTCAGTTTTTTTTTTTTTTTTAGGGTAGGACTATTCGATATCTCGATACCTTCGATACATGCGACAGTTTATCGAATTTCGAAATCGAAGTTACCAAAAATGCAGGGCCTAAAATTCATACAATTTCAGGGACACACTTTTTTTAGTTCAATAGATAGAGTTGATATATTTCCTTAGCGAAAAAAAACCTGGGGAGGGGGATTTCACACTACAATTAATTACTCCTTAAACGAACGAGGGGAAAAATGTAGACATTAAAACATCGTCTAGTGAATAATTTAAATCTATCATACGTTTTACATTATTCGAAAATTGTCGAAAAAATAAACGGACTAAATTATTGAAATTACTTACGACTTTGATATATTTATTTCAGCAAATTTATATAGTTGTAAATGTATACGTATGTAGATCAATATTTCCACCAGAATAAGATATTTAAAACTTGATAAGAAATGTTTTGAGATTTAATCCATTCTTATAATAAAATTATGTGCATTTTATTTTACATTTTATTCTTACATATTTTGGCGTTTCATGTTGTGTACCTATAAGATTATGAACCATTTCGCAATAGACCCAAAACGGCCGTTCATCGGTGTATTTTTTTTATCGATTGTCGTAATCGAAGATTTTTTATTTTATTTTCGTTATTTTGTATTTAATAAAATTCATTGACGATTTACAACCGTTGATAACAAAAGGTCTTCGATTAATGTTCGGTTGAAATCATACGTATACTTAGTTAGCGGAGAAAATTCTAACTCTAATTTCTATATCAGCTGTTACATTTACACGTAAAAAATTCCAAAGACAGCCTTTTTCTCATTTATATAGTTTGATGTTTTTCCACATGTTTTATAAACTATGCTTCCTACGCATTTTAATTAAATATAAATACGTCTTCTGTAGTTTTAATTTGGTCATCTAACCTAAGTAGAAAGACGGTTACAAGTAGGTTTAGTTTTCCCATTAAGAGCGTTTCGTTTTAACGATTTTAATTTTGCGAAAATCTCTCGGTAGTTTTACTTAAAATTATCATTTCCTACCGTCAGTAGGTTGACTAAAATGTTCAACTTTATTAAAGTCATATACCTTATGCGGTTGCCTACATACACTTAACGCGGCTACAAATATCGCGCTGTCAGGCCATTCTATTTTGTGGAACTCGGCCCACAGAAGTATTATCAAACCTCCTCAATCTGTCGACATTATTAACAATCGATAAAGTACTCACGTACAGTAATTGGTAGAATCCGTGAAATTAACTACTCAGTCACGATTCGAAATTGTATTGCTTACCTGAAAAAAAAAAAAAATAATAATTAGTATTACAAAACAGATTTATTTTAAGATAATACAATCATATATTTTTATATTGAAATAAAAAATAATGAAATTTGCTGGGTTTTCACTAAGGATATTCCCCATGCCGAGTATGATTACATGCCTATCATATGCAACTTAATTTTACTTCACTGGCGGACTGCTGACTTAACGCGAACAAAAAATTCTTATATGATCTATTGTTCGAGGCAATAGAATCATCGACCCTATTGTCTTTAATTAATTTCAGAGCTTCTTCTTAGGTTAAGAGTAAATTTTATCCTTCCCTAACATAATATTTCTGTAATCTATTACTTCTCTTTAGCTATATATAATAAGTAAATAAATAAATAAATACGTATTATCATATAGTTATTAGGCACATCTTATTCATCAAGTCGATTACGATATACCGACAAATCAATCAGTCACCAAAAATTTTTTCGTAAATAAGTAAAAAGTATATTATTCTGTTACAATAATTCGATTTTTCAATGTTAAATTTCACAACCCCCCTACCCCACTGAATAATAATATCATAAAAAAACATCAACAGCATTTGCGCTGATGGGTGTGCCATTGTTTTAGGAGGGCAGTTGTTAAAGCCGATATATAAAGTAATATATTTTTTACCTGTCCTCTACATTGTCAAACCATTGCTAATGGAAAACGATTTAGAACAGAGTATTATAAGTCATATTTTCCCTTAGTAGTCCAAAAAATTAACGAAAATTATACAAATAATTGTCAATTTCTCCCATTTATTAAGAAAACTAAAAAGCAAATTAAACAATAACTTCCTAAATGTATCAACGTTATGAGAAATGCTTATAAAGTTTTTTAATGTAGCAAGATATCTGGAAGAATATTCGTTTAAAGACACAAATAAATAGACACCATAGTAAAACCAATATCGTAAAAAAATAGAAAAAAAAAAGAGATGATACTGCAGATTGTTTGTGCCGCTTTTGTAGGTAGGAATTCATAAAGGTAGGATATACAGAGTAATTTAATTTATATTTGTACGTAACGATAAATCATTGCTAATGAAATAAGGTTCTGAGAGAAGTTCAGTCAAACATGTTTTGAAATGCCGTAATATTTACGAATTGAACTAAAACATTTATAAAATAAATGTTACATTATAATTAACTTAACGCTAAGTAGAACCTTCTTGTGTTAAATTTGTGATGATTTCTTTTTGGCCAACACAATTTGATCCACATAAAACCAAATACAAAGTTCAAAAACTCGAAAAGGTCAAAAATAAATAAACAACTTTAAAATAATTTCGAACGTTACCATTTCTAAAAAAAAAAAAAAAAAATACTAATACGTGTTTTGTGAAATGTTTTAAATGACTATATTTAAAAAAATTGCAATAAAAAAAAAAAAAAAACCAAAATCAAAAATATCGAAACTTAGTGTTCTAAACTTTTTGATTTTACCCGATATTTTCTAATAATTAAAACAAACACACGAAAAAAAACTTTCATGTGTTCCGACTAAGAAATGTGATTTAGAGCAAAATTTCCAGATAAAAAAAATTGATAAATTTGAAAATTACCGTAAATTCGTCCATTTTTCATAATTTTTTTTTTATCCAATTTTCCCAATAAATACAAAAAAAAATTTGGAAAATAAAAAAAGACCACGCCCTACATGCGCTAACTCTTAACTTGCCAACAATTCAACAAAAACAGCTCTCTTGTTGTTTTTTTATAAAGGTAAGATTTTTGGCGGAAAAGTTGTTTACAGAAAGAAAAAAAAAATCACACACAATTATAATAAAATCAATACGTTTCACGTATGCTCAGAAACTTATAAAAAAAATAGCGCACGTCTTAGTAAACCAATATATTCCTCAATGCGATCAGAATTTAATGCATAGTACGTAAATATAAGTATTTTTGTTCAAAAACCCACTACCTACATTTTGAACGAGAAATATTGTTAGGTATATACCACGTTGCGTGGTCGTGTTTTTGTACGCATGCAAATCGCGCGTGGGTATACCGTCGCCTCAGTATTAATAATAAACCATGTATAATTTTGATTTAATTTTTTCAGTTTAAAAATATATTTTACACCGTAGATATACGCAGTTCAGACCAGTTTTATTTTTTTTTTTTTCGTAGTTCAAAATTGATTTTTTCACAATTTTCAACTTAAAATTTCTTTCATATTATTCAAGTTAATATAATAATGTTATAACAAATACCAATCATCTTCTGTCCGACGAGGAAGACTCAAAACTATTGAGTCTTCTTCGTATGGAAACAACAAAAATACACTTTGAACAACGTCAACTCGAACATCAAGCACAGAATCCGGGGGATCAGTAAAACCAAGCGGGTCAGAAAGAATTGGAAAACATTTTTTTTCCGAATCAAGCGCGAAAGAAACGTCAACTCTAATAAA